AAAAAAAAAAAAAAAAGAACAGCTGGCAACATAAGACACTGTCCCTACCAAAAAAAAAATAATGTAAAAATTAGCTGGGCATGATGGTACATGCCTGTAGTCCCATTTACTGGGGATACTTGAACCTAGGAGTTCAAGGCTGGCCACTCCAGTGCATCGACCTGCTGGGCTCTGGCGGGCCATCTGCCTCAGCCTTCCAAGTAGCCGGAACTACAGGCATGTGCTACCACGCCTGGCTAATTTTTTTTTTTAACTTATTGTAGAGATGAGGTCTTGCCAAGTTGCCCGGGCTGGTCTCAAACCTGCATGCTCCGGCAATGCACTTGCCTCGGCCTCCCAAAGTGCTGGGATTATAGGCTGAGCCACCGAGCCCAGCCGATTCATTTATTATTAAAGAAATTAAATTTTAAAAATAAGTTTAGTGTAGCCTAAGTGTACAGCATTTATAAAGTCTACAGTGATGAACAGTAACATCCTAGGCATTCACATTCACTCACCACTCACTCACTGACTCACCCAGAGCAACTTGCAGTCCTGCAAGCTTCTTTCATGGTAATGCCCTATACAGGTGCACCATTTCTTACCTTTGACATCAACTGTTTACTGTGCCTCTTATCTCTTTAGATATGTTTAGATACACAAATACCATTGTGCTAAAACTGCCTATAGTATTCAGTATAGTATTGTGCTGTACAGGTTTGTAGCCCAGGAACAATAGGCTACACCCCATGGCCTAGGCATGTAGTAGGCTTTACCATCTAGGTTTGTGTAAGTATACTCTATAATGTTCCGACAACAAAATCAAAAGCATTTTTCAAAATGTGTCCCTGTCGTTAAGCAACATGTGATGGTATGTGTATATAACGTATGTATACACACATATATACACAATGAAGGGACAGGACTAGATGGGTGACTTCTCAGGCATGAAGGAAAATAAATAGTTGGGGTTCCACACTCCCCAGCCCTGAACTTCCTTTGTGGAAGGGTGTGTAAGAGAGACACAGGGAAGTGGAGGTGCTGTGGGAGAAAAGCAGACTAACCATATCTTTAAGAGATGCGTGACCAATAGCAAAAACATGGAACCAACCATGCTGCCCATTGAAGCTGGACTGGATCAAAAAAATGTGGTACATATACACAATGGAATATTATGCAGCCATAAAGAAGAACAAACATATGGACTTTGCAGCAACTTGGACAGGTTTAAAGTCTATCAAAACAAAGAACAGAATACCATATGTTCTCACTCACAAGCGGACCTTGAAAAATTATCATAGTACTATAAAGGGATTGGCAGTAGTGGGAAACTGCCAGGGAAGGAGGAGTGGGATTGGCAGTTGAAGGAAACTGTTGGGGGGGAGGGGCACACCTCATCAACAAGGGTACCTGCATAATGAACATTTGTATACCTAACCCTAAATTGGGCCCCACATCTTTAAAATAAAAAAATTTTTTTTAAAAAAGATTCCGGCTACTCGGAAGGCTGAGGCAGAAGGATCGCTGGAGCCCAGCAGGTTGAGGCTGCGGTGGCTGGGAGTGGCCACTGCACTCCAGTCTGGGCGACTGAGCGAGACTCCAACTCAAAAAAAAAAGATGTGGTATGCCAGGATTTCTTCATAGAAAATTCAGCAAAGTAGGCATCATCATCACCCCCATTCTACACATGTGGAAACAGACTCAAAGGCTAGGGAACTAGTCCAAGATCACACTGCTAACAACATGGCAGAAACAGTATTGAATCCAGCTCTGTATCCAAAACTCCTGTCCTTCTCACTCTGCTGGGACCTCCTTTACCAAAGGTCATCTACCAGACTCCCCACTCATTGGGGCCCAACTGTATATGTTCCTACCATGCCCCCTCCATCACACCTTCCCAGGCAGAGCCTGCTCTCACCTGCAGGGGCACCCCGACATTACTGGCCACCTCTCGGATCAGGGCCTCTGAAACTGCATTTGAGGCATAGCGTTGTTTGCTGTTCACCTTGATCACAGGGCCCTGGGAAGAGTCAAAGGTGAGGCAGAGACAGTGGCAGGCCCAGAGGGAACAAGACAGTGCCCAGACCTGCAAGTCCCTAGAGAATCGGAGACTCTCACCTTGTGGAATAAGGGTCGGTGATTCTCCTCATGCTTGTCCCTGTAGGAGACAGATAAGGACGAGGGATGGCAAACAGGAGCAGGCTTGTCAACATTCATTACTCCTCCTATAGCAGATATCACTAAAGGATCACAGCATTCATTCCCACCCTGCCCAGTTAGACTTAAGAGTCATTCTAAACAGCATTCCAGGCAGCCTCTAGCAACAGATGGAAATAACTTTGTAGATAAAGCCGATTCAGCACAATTGAGTTAGGCATTACATGACTTTGACCAAGTCAGGGTTTATCGCAGTCAAAAGGAAGTGCCCACTAAACCTCCTGGCAGAACGAGGAAGGGAAAAGGGAAGCCAGGACTGAGCCTCAAGGCAGGTTATGCTTGGATCTCTGGCTATGTGAAGACTGTGTCTGGCACAGGAGACTCACAGGTAGTTGGGGTGCACAGCATGGGCCATGTCTGCGCTGATCATGAAGGACTTGGGTATGGCTTCCTCGAAGGCTGTCAGGTGCTGAGATGAGGCTGAGATCCGCCGTAGTACCAGCTCTGTCAGCAGTGATTGTGCTCCCTGGGCACTCTCAGACCCCACCTGGCGACAGCAGAGACCTAACTCCGGGGATCTGGGCTCAAGAGTCTGAGCTGGGAGGCCAGCCAGAGGGGAGCAATGCCTAGTTGGCCCAGAATCCGAGTCAGGAGTGTTCTTAGCAACATGCCAACCCAAGGTCATCACTGAATCCCTGATGGTGGGCTGGGGCCAAACTTTTTCTTTCATACGCGTGACAGAGACTGCTAACTGTCTGATATCCTTTATAACAGAACACCCAAATTGTAGCTAAGCACATAATTAATTACCCAGCTAGTGACAACATTCCCAGCCCCACTTGCGGCTAACATGGCCATGCTAAGTTCTACGAAGCGTAAGCAGTGATGAATACCGTTTTGGGTTCCTGCACTTAAAGGCATGGACATCCACTCCCCCTTTGCCCTCTCCTCCCTCACAACTAACTCGGTGCAGACATGAAGGACAGAGCTAGAACAGACACCCTGGATCCTGAATGGAAGCCATATGTTTAGGATGGCAGAGATCCATTCTAAACTGCTAAGTTTAACCTGGGTAGTTACAAGAGAGATGCTTAGACAGGGTCTAAAACTGCAGCTCAACACACGTGTGCATCATGAGGACCTACTATATGCTGAGCCCTGGGGCTACAGGGATGAACTGGGCAGAGTTCCTGTCCTTGAGGAAGGAGCTCACCAAGTGGCACACAGAGAGATACGGGAGATGTGGTCCCCCTAGGAAATGTGGACCTATGCTAGCCAGACAGGACACTGGCACTAAGGAAGCACAGGTGGTGTCTCCCGTCTTTGAGGCCTCCAGAAGGCCTGGCTCTGGGTGGGTGCCTGGCACAAATCAGTTGCAGAAGACTCCGCAGAGGGGACTCTCCCCAGAGCCCTCTATGTACCTCTTCATTGTCATAGAGTGTGATCATGCGCACATGAGGATCCTTGGCCAGCGAGGCAGGGGCTGCACAGGAATCAATCAAGGCCTGGTTCGGAGGGGAAACGAGAGCATCATTCCCATCCCTGCTTCTTCTGCAACTCAATCCACCAGCACCACCTTGGGGGTGCATGCTCCCCCCGCCCCCCGCCACCTTCGGTCCTCATGGCCAGAGTGAAATGGGCTGGGCTTTCACTGGCCTTTATCTCTCAGGGCACTGCCTGGCAGAGAGCATGGAGGGGACTTTTTCAACTGGGATTGGGTGTTCTTCTTCCATGCCCTTCCTGTGTAAAAGGCAGAAGGAGGATGTAGAAGAGAGAAAGAGCTAAGAATTCAGGAAAGTCAAAAGACCATAGAGAGCACCTAAACTAATTGGCTTCAGTCAAAAGATTGTGGTCTAAAGAGGTAGTCGTGACTCATCAAGGTGCCATGACTGGCTGGCTGCAGGAGCTGATGCAGGCACATCTGGCTCTGGTCTCAATTACAGTCCAAAGCCTGTCTCCAGTCACAGGATGGCAGGGAAGGTTAAAGGCAGAGCGAGGGTCAAGGGCAAGAGGAGAGCTGACCAGGGTGGAAAGAAGGCAGGGAATATCAATGTGACTAGGAAGAGAGGCCGTCCCACTGAGATCCCAAGGAAAAGGGAGAAGACTGGGTGGGCTTAAGCCCGAGGGCAGTGGGGAAGCAGAGGGAGGCAGATAAGGCCTTTCCCTGAGGCACTTAAGGAAAAGCAGGAGCAGGGTTAGGACAAGGGCTAAACAACTAAACAACCTGTGCCCTAAACAACTTCTCAGCCTTCCTCTTACCTCAATCCCCGGCCAGTGCAAGGACAGACTCAGGGTAGTGGTACTAAGGCTGTAGCGTTTAGGCCTCTCCCTGTGGTCCGCCCAGCACCAGCAGACTGAGGCAATAGCCAGTGGTCCTTTCTCATGACCTGCTGGGGCTTGGGGCAGTTCCTCTCCACCCCAACACTCCACCTCTCCCAGTGGCATGTGCTGCCTGGGGCACCCCAGCACCTCACCTGCAGGGCACAGAAGCAGCTGTGCAGATTGTCCAGACGAGGAGCAAAGATGAACTCATCATAGGCACCACCCAGGACCTACAGAGATAGGAGAGTCGGCATGACCGTCAACCCTCCACTCTGTGTACCTGCTTCTTCTGCTCCCAAGGGTCTGAGCTTAAGCAAGCCTCCTTGGTTTCTTATCCAACCTCTCCCTGATCCCTGGCTTAGGGCACTATCATTATCCATGCCATGCAGGACTGAGCAGAGAAAGGAGAATGGGTCTGGCGCTGAGGATGGAAAGGGAAGAAGCCTACAACACCTAATTTCTTTCTGTGGTACAGGAAAAGAAGAGCTGAATTGTCACTAAAAAGGCCAAGAAAATAAAAGGAGAAAACCAGTCAATAAAAGAGAAACAGAACATGATCAAGCAGGACAGGGTATCCAAAGACTTAGCAATCTCCTACTGTTGGCAACTGTGAGACAGAACAGATGGCCACATCCAGGCCTCTGGCCCTCCGAGGTTTGGAGCCAGTGTGAGTCAATGCAGACACAGCCCACCTATGTGGGCAGAAGAAACTCCTGGGCAATCTTTGAAAATGGCTGATTCCCAGGCTCTCTCCCTAGATAGTCCTCTTAGGCAGGTCTGGGGTGGGGAACTTGCCTTTTTGAGAACCACTGCCCTGGAGGCAGAGGGGAATATGTCTACGGGGAAGAACAAGGATGAGAGTAATTGATGGACTGGTGGAAGTGATGAGTGCTTCAAGGGACAAGCCAGGGCGGGTTGGGATCCTGGAAGACTCCCACCCACAAGTCCCTACAACCATTCCTCACCGCAGGCTGCGTATCTGCGAGGCAGAGCTCCATCTCCACTACGTCCTCAGGGCTCACCCCCAGATGGGCACAGAGCAGGGACATGAGGACCGAGTGGTGCCGCTCATCCTGCAGGGCAAAAGGATGCTGGCAGAAAGGTCTGCTCCTCCTCTCCTCTTGCCATCTCAGGAGACCGACCGGTCCGTTTTCCCTCTACCATCCTCCCCCTGAGCAGGGGATCCTCTTACTGCAGCACTGAGAGGCCCTGGCTCAGGAGTCCCCTTCTCCAGCTCCTCCTGGACTGCTGTGGCAAGAATGGGGATTCTGTAGGGAGATGTATGAGAGGGGGTGTGAGGAAGGTGCAGCAGGGTGGGGCATCTGTGAGTTCAGGTATCTCCTGATGGGCAACTGCCCTTGCCCTTCAATTCTGAACCCACTCTGCAAATGGCAGAGTTGTATGGACCCCTGGACATCGACTGGGTCCCAAGAGTAGAACGTGACTGTGTCTACCATTAGGTAGTGGTCTCTAGGTCTCACTGAGGCCCCTTCAGTCCCTTGGTGCCATTTCCCATCCCTCCCAGTCACTACAGCCGCACCCCAGTCTCACAGGTGCATCTCTGTGTTGGGTCCAAAGTTCTCGTTGATATTTCGCTGCAGATGGATGGCCAGGTGTGGGATACGCAGAATGGGCCGCTCCACGTGCACCAGTCGCTGCTCCAGTCGACCTGAGGTAGGGCACTGTGGCCATCCAGGCCAGGTCAGTCCAGGGTACCTCCCAGCCCCAGGTGGTCAAAGTTCATTCATACTAACCAAGGGGGTCCTCTGATCCAGAATGCCCCTACCCCTCTTCCCCAGAGTGCTCTACATGGGTATTCTGAAGGAATGTAACAGTCAATCTTCCCAGAAGGTCTGGAGCCTTCCCTATGCCCAGCCCTAGCTCCCACCTTGACAATGACACGTCCGGCCAAGGTCAGGTCACGGTCAAACCAGGTGCTCCAGATCCCACCACCATAGGTCTCTACACCGACTTGATGGAAGCCCACCTGGCTGCGGCGAGACCGACGTTTGACCTGAGGGTAAGGATGGAGAAGTCAAAGACGGCTTAATGAAAAGATTTGGAGATGAGAATTAGACCATTCACAAAGTAACATGGAGTAAATATCAGTGCCAGGTGAAAGGCACAAAGTGTGAAGGAAGGATCCAACAAGTTTACCTTCTCCCCTGCTCTAGGGAATAAAGCCCCGATTTCTACCTCCGGTCTCTTTTGTACCATACTCCTCCTGACACCTCTTCCCACCCAGCACAACCCCGGTTCCTTACCCGCAGACAGGGGCTGTCCGTGTGGGCCCCAATGAGGCTGAAGCCATTGCCGGGAACATACTGGCCTCCCACAGCAAAAGCTATGATGGTGGAGGAATTCCTGGTCATAAAGTACTAGGCAGGAAAGAGGGAGACAGAAGTGTGAGTTGCATTAGACAGCTGGCACACTTTGAGGACTTTGAGACCCAGCCGAGGGACCTTTTCTCCCCTACTCCACCTCTAGTACCTTGCTCTCGGGCTTAATATCCCAGCTCTCTGTCTCCTTCAGTTCACGAAAGCCAGCCTGGAGGAGACGGCTGCGGCACTCGGCCACGGCTGGAGGAAAAAGACCCTCTCACAGGAAGCTGGTGGGGGAAACACCTGCCCCTACCCTCCTCCCTTATCCTGCTCACTTACCGTGGAAAGGAGAGGGACTCCGGTTCACGAATTTGAGGAGCTCCCGGGCAGCGGCTTGCACCGCCTCTTTGCGGGCCCTACCAGTCATGGCCATCTAGGGGAGAGGGAGCTCAGACTCCACCGAGGTCTGGGACTCCTGCCTCCCCCATCCCCAGAAGCGACTGCTCCAAGGCACCGACCTCCGCTTCACTCTCCTCCCCCACTGAGAGACCCAAATCCTGGGTCGCTGAAAGCTTCACCTCTCCCGCCAAAGAATCAGGCCCCTGTCCCGCCCCCTAAACCAAGCTTTAGCCTGACTCCCTAAGTCCCACCCCCATGTCTCTGCCCAGCTAGGAATCCTGATCTGTTCCCAAACTCCGAGATCCCAAGCGGGGCCCTAACTCTGAGTTGGCCTCCATCACGTGCGCGTCCCATCCCGGAGCCAAAGCCCTGTACCCCAAAGAATACTCCACCTCTGCTCCACCACCCCCACCACCTCCGCCTCTCGGAGTACACCCCCTTCCAGCCCCGGGAAGGTCAGGTTATCCTCGGCGGGGCTTTCGGTTTCGCTTTGGGTAAGGCGGGCCCCCGCAGGACTTAGCTTGGGCTCGGTAGGGCGCTGGGCCAGGGCTGGGACCCAAATTCAACCGGGGCCGGCGGCGGCCGCCTACCTGCACCGCCCGGCGCGTGGGGCTGCGTCCGCTCCTCTGGCTCCTGC